ATAATAAATATAGATGGTGAAAAATATAATGAAAAAAATAAAAAAAAATGATAAAATTAAAATACTATTTTTCAAGAGCGAAATAGTATTTAAAAGTTTTTCGTTTGTTTTCTTGAGAGAAGCTATCTCATGATTGTATTGCTCAAATTCCTGGGCGACACGTTCAGTAATTACTTGTCTTGTTTCTATTAAAATAAATAATTTAATTTTTTTAACAAATTTTAATAAAATAATAATAATTACCTTCAGAAATATCTTGATCTGAATTCATTTTTATTCGATTTATTATTATATTATTCGAAATTACACAAAATTTAAAAATCAAAATTTAAAATTCCGGCTCTTAAATACCTTCTGGAGCTGTTGTAAACGAATCTGATATTCCCACAACACCTGGATAAGGTGGAGGTGGCGAATCTGGAACAGATAACTCAGAAAAAGAATCTTCTCTGCGAATAGAAGGTAATCGACTCGGATAATGTTCTTCTTGATTAGGAGCATATCGTCCAGATTCGGTTCGTCTCAAAAGATACGACATGATGATATCAATTAATAAAATAACATATAAAGCTTGTAAAAAACACATAAAATTTATTATTGTTCAAATTGCAGAAATGTTTTCTTTATAACCAATTTGAATATAACTAAAAATAGATATTCGTTGTAAATCCAAAATAAAGACATTTTTAGACACGTTGATATCAGTTAACCAAATCAAGAAACAAATCTAATCAGTGTTGTTCATATGGGTTATTCTATATACACAAATTTAGGAATGCGTATTTATTGGGGTGGTAAAGTAGCTCAATTATACGCATACGATGGAAGACAAGTCGAACTTCGTTTTCACAAATATTTAGAAAATTTAGTAAGTCATCTTCAAATCACTGAAAATTACATAACTGATAAAATCAATAAATTAAATCAAACTAATAACCAATTACAAGAAACAATTAATAAATCTGATAATAAAATTAAAGAATTGGAAAAACAAAACATAAACACCAATAATCAATTAAACGAATTAAATAATAAAAATAACCAATTAAATCAAACCAATAATCAATTAAATCAAACTATTATCAATTTAAATGAAAAAAATAAAGAATTAGAAAAAACAAACATATCTATTAATAATGAATTGCAAGAAAGAATTAACAATCTAAATTTATTGAAAGAAGAATTTGATTCGTTCAAGAAATCGATCGAGGAGCAAAAAAAGATCGATACTTTGGTAACAGAAATATGCACGATGCTAAGCATAGATTCAGATAATAATTTATTAAAGATATACAATACTTTAGTATCGGATAGCAATACAAA